ATGGACAAAGAATCATCAGTCTACTTATGGAGCTCTTATGAACTGTTATTGTGTGGAACTCAAGGAAGAGAAGGCAAAGTCTCATTTCGAGAAGATGGATGAGCTTAACTTTGTTAACAACTCGTTGCCGTTTAACAACATGATGTCAATGTACATGCGGTTAGGTCAACCAGAAAAGGTTCCTCTGCTTGTTGATGCGATGAAACAGAGGGGTTTACTTCCTTGTGGGATCACTTACTCTATATGGATGCAGAGCTGTGGAAGTTTGAATGATTTAGAAGGGTTAGAGAAGGTTATAGATGAGATGGGAAAAGACTGTGAAGTTAAAACCACTTGGAATACATTCTCTAGCTTGGCTGGGATCTATACTAAAGCTGGTCTTTACGAGAAGGCGGAGTCAGCTCTGAGAACCATGGAGGAGAAGATGAATCCTAACAACCGAGACGCACATCATTTTCTCATTAGCTTGTACGCTGGAATCTCAAAGGCTTCTGAGGTTGAACGAGTTTGAGAGTCGCTGAAGAAGGCTCGTCCTGAGGTCAACAACATGAGCTACCTTTTCATGTTTAACTACAGAGAGAATATGATAACCTCTCTTTATGTGATTGGTTTCTCTTGTTTACATTACAAGTATGGAAATTTTTTTGTTGCTTTGCTCTTGTTGTTGAGACATGTTTGATTGTTATCTTGCTGTTCAGAAACCGTGTGACCATTCTGTCAATATAAATTGCGTCAATATAAGAACCATAAAACCACTCGTATGAGTTCACCACGACAATTCCACAAAGATGCTAATTGCTTCCTTTGAGTACTTTGCGTACTAAATTCTACAAAGATGTTAACTTCAAGGATTAGTGTTATAAACAGCAAAAAAGAACGAAAAATAGGAAAACATGTGTAGTGCAATTACTCGAACTCGGGTTACTAATAGAGGTTTTAGACATATAAACCACTGAACCAAGTTATCATATTGTCATATAATAAAAAAAGGTAGTATATAATAGGTTATATATACCAAATATGAAACTTAAACACGTTCATGGCAAAAAATATTAAAAAAGGAAACAAAAATATTTAGAGAATATTTACTAACCATTA